TGGCTATGACTGAGTTGCATTATTCCTGATGCAGGGGGTTTAAGAGATCCTGATATGTATTAAAACAAGCTGGTATGTTTTGGATGCCACATTTTTAGACTCCAAGCAGGTTCAGGTTGTATATTTTTGTAGTTCTAGACATGTAATGTACAGGATCTCACAGTAAACTGAAGTTCATAAATCCAGATACGCTTCCGGTGCACCGGAGACATGTCTGGAGTTAGTAACACCAGTGGTGACACGGAGCCATCCTGGCACTGCCTGGGACACTTCTATGCCCGTTGTGACCACGAGGTCCAGCCCGTGGCTCTGCCACTGGTGCAATGTTTTTGCTATATGATAAATAATAATAATAATAATAATAATACTGTCAAGTGATCAAAATGTTAAGTTAGTGAACTTATGCTGTCTGTAAAATATTTTAAGTCTTTGAATCCTATGATGCATGTTTGACTTGCTGTTCTGTCGTTGAATGTCCTTATAAGCCTGCCCTAAACTTGTGCACAGTATACTTCATTCAAGCAGATGGTTCATTGAATCTTTACAAACATCAACATATATTGTAACGTAAAAAGTCTGTGGTATTACATTGATAAATTGTTGAGAAATAAAAAAAGAGACTCCAAAAATAGTAAAGGATGATAATATGATCTGATATCAAAACGCTTTAGTAAAAAGGGTGAGAATTGGGGAAAAATCTACTTGCCAGTCACGGATAAAGCCAGTCAGAATTTTGGGATATACCATATTGACAGGACATCTGTCATTTTAACCATGTGGAAATAACACTTTTATTCTCTCTCGTGAAGTGCAGCAAGACAATGAAACGTAAAGTTACCCATGTGAAAACACTGGAACACGTAAATCCAGCCCAACCTGTGTCACTGATTGACTTTAAGACTTGTTGATGGTCATGGAAAAGGCAACACGGACAGGGAATTGACAATGTGATAGCTTGATGGGCAATTCTTCTGATGAAGGTTCCAATGTGAGGCGTGGAATAAAAGCTATCTTTCCTGCATGTTTTCCTTCCAAGACATGGCACTTCAATACTCTTCTCTTCATCACTATCAAAATCATGCGTGTTCTATTACAGAGTCTATTTAGCGGATCAATGTTGTGGAGGAGAATAAGCAAACATCCAGCTTTAAGTTTGAGGTGCACTTCAGGAATGCCAGATACTTGCAAGGAGTTCATGAATTCCACAGGATAATGTTCATGCCCCTCTCCAACCACTTTATCAATTGACAGAGCTACTAACTCTTCTCCAGGGCATTTTGTGAGGATTGCTAAATAAGATTGCTAACAGCATCATTTTTTGCAGAGAGGATGGTGCGGTGGAGGAAATAATGGTCATCTTTGTCTCCATTTGCAATTCCAGGATAGGTAGTGTTGACTAATGAGTCTATGGTGTTTTCTGGCATAAGCATGTTGGAGGGGAGCTCAATAGCTCCATCTTCTGCAATTCCACGACCACCACCAACATCCAGGAGCCAGCTAGCAAAGGCTTCAATTTCTGGAGTACGGTCCAGGCACATGTTCTGTGTGAGATAGCAGACATGGATATTTGTCCACAGTTGTGACCTTCTAAGAGAGGCAGAAATAATGTGTTGCCTTGACCCTCTTGGAACAACAGGTGTTGTTTGGCGCAAGTCCCCTCCAAAGACCGTTGTAATGCCTCCAAATAGAAGCTGATTATCCAAAATGTCCTGCAATGTACGATCCAATGCTTCAATTTCATGATGGTGTTGCATTGGTGCTTCATCCCAGACAATAGCTCCGGTATGTCTCAATACCTCATGGAGGTCAGAGTTTTTTGGAATCCATGTGGATGCTTCATGTACAGGAATAGGAATTCCAAAGCGTGAATGAGCTGTGCAGCCACCCTCCAAGAGCAGGGATGCAATCCCAGAGGATGCTACACATAGAGCAACATTATGATTATCCCCTACTCAAATGGCGGCTGCAATTGTATTACAGAGATATGTTTTTCCCTTACCTTCAGCACTGTGAATAAAGCAAGTTGTTCCCCAATTATGATAAATTGACTGTATGATGGTATTAAAAGCATTCTGCTGCTCTTGACTGAGCTGCTCCATATTATCTTTTGAGTAATAATAATACAGTTAAGTGATGAAATTTTGTTTAGTCAGAAGTCAGTGAACTTGTGCTGTCTTGTCCTTATAAGCGTGAGAATTTTCAATGTGGCTGCAATTTTCACTGCACTCGTTACTACTTGCACTGCTGCTCCTGTGGTCACAAAAACCATGCGAGCAAAACTAAGCAAAATAACTGACACAAGGTGGCTCGCACGCGGTATTTGGGATCGCCATCCCCTTCGTTATAGCTCCTATAGCTATAAAGCTCATAGTTATAATATAGTTCAAGGTGCTTAAAAGGGCTAATAATGACAAAACCGGATAAACCCGGTCTCTGCCGAAGTAGTCATTGTTCTCCATGGAGTAACCATTGTTCTCCTAGGAGTCATTATACTGTAGCAAGTAGCACCTCCGACTATAAGTAGTAGGGGGTTTAGTATAGGAATACCTCAGTTGTTTCTATAGCCTCTCGGGCAGCGGCTGAGTTTCACTTAGGTTTATTAAATAAATCATACAGTATTAATTAATAATATAGCCTGTATTAGTGAAATAGTAGTTTGTATCCCTGATACTCACAAAATAAGAATAATGATTTATCCAAATATAAGTGGTGACAATGAGTAAAAAAATAATCTGTCCATGAAAGGTCAATATATAACACCTGTATAATATATTTTATAAGCTCTCATGGTGTAGTGGATAAATGTGATGTGTGGCTATAGGTTGCTTAGTCACCCAAAAGCTGACTAGCAGGTTGAGAGTTCAAATCCTGTCTGTGTTAATTTTTTTTATCAGCCACACAACAATTTCCAACATCTATAAGAGCATTTATAGAGCTATATGAGTCTCTATAAATGGCAGAGGTTCTATAACAGGTTTGGCCACTATAACAGCTTTATGAGTACTTATAGTGCTATAGAGCTCTATATAGCTACCCCCATTTTTCCTAATGCAGCCCCAGCATCATTTCTCTTTCAAAATCTTCCACTGCAAAACCAAAGCTTCATTCTATGGCCTGCCCTATCAACAAATGCCTTGCAAGCCTAGCTCACAAAGCTATGAGGCTTTTTACAGTCACAGAAAAAGGATTTCCAAACCCCCTCAGTCGTCATTCAATATGCTGGGATTTGTTGGTTAAAGCCACAGCAGCAGAGAATGACAGTGGCCTAGTGTACAAAATGAAGGAGATACAAGACAACCAGGTCCTCAAGTCTCAATTACTACAATATGTGAGTTAAAACCCCTTCATACACACCCATACCGATTATCACTGTAAATACAGATGTGGAAAGGTTCTACACAGGTTAGAGGGGAACATATTTCCAAAGCTAGAATCAGTGTACCCCCTATGTATGGCATCAAAAACATTCATAAGGACAAACTAAGTGATATGATCTATTGAATCATAAACTCAGGAGCTTTTATCAATAACACCATAGGTTTAAAGGTGAGTTATTTTAAAGTTTTATTGTTATACTTATACTAGCTGCAAATATACAGGAGAAGATGTCTGACATAAGCCAACCTTGGAAAAATGATATCATCAAATTTCTTTTTCAAGCAGAATGGTGGGGTCCCAAAGGCAAAGGTAGAAAGTATGGTAGAAAAAATAACCCATATCTACACAATCTCCCTACTTTGGCTCTAGTAGCATGCTCTGTAAGTGTTTATATCTTTATTTATATAAAACTGATGATCAAATTTATTTACCAGATTGAATGTGCTCTACTAGGTGCTATTAACAACACTACAATAGAATTCCCTGAAACAGCATTTTCTGCTAGGTACATCACCTTAATCACCATAAATCTATACTAATTATACTTTTACAAGGTGGAATCATCATTATATGATGTTGTTGGAAATATTTCAGAAATGTTCTCCTACATACTTGGCAGCTGTATTTGATGAGATTGATGAATATGTTTGGTAAGAGCTTACTACAAATTCATTATCATTCAAAGCTTTTTTTTTAACCTCAAGTATTTTTGTAGGAATGATTGTATAACAGTGGGGCAATCTGATGTATCTAAACTTATGTTTGATTTTGATGCTTTAGAGGAAGCAGCAAAAGCATCCAAATCATAATTACAGATATTACAATAGTGCTGCAGCATTTTAAATGTTTAGAATCAATATAATTTGCTTTATTAGTGCTTTTTTTTGGATATATATTGAGTATGGATCAATATAATTGCATTTAGAGTAAACTATAGTGAAAAAGTGCAAGGTCATTTGTGTTTTAACAACTGTGCTATAAACCACTTTTGATGATATGTCAATACTCTAAACTGTGTAAATATCAATAAAGATGATATTTATTGATCTTTATGCAGTTTAGAGTAAGGGACTGTGCAAGAATCACACTTATGGATATAAGGGATATTTTTGCTATCATTACATTTATATCTAAATCATGTTTTCCTAATGTAGATCCACAGATAGCAAGCGGGGTCCCCCAGTTACATTTTTTTACATTTACAAAAAGGACAAGTTGACATGTTGTTGCAACAACAACCCAATGTCCACACTCTGTTGCACAGCATGCGTGCACAGATTTTGACATTAACCATGCAGCCCCCTGAATTAGTTGAACAAACATTCAATAAGAAAGTTGAGATCATCGCTGACCCCAGCACTTTCAAAGAAAACCAGGCTGTATTCACTGAGTGGTGGATCAAGGCTGTGACACCTTTACCGATGACTTCGAGATAGCAACAGCTGTGCTATCAAGACTAAAAGGACCTGTGGCGGTTTGATACGCCCAAGTACAACTCCAGAAGTGCTACACTGCCAATGACTGGCCTACCTGGGACAATCTCAAGGGGGAGATTGAGAAATTTTTCAAACCCCAAGCTGAATGTGACTGGGCACACCAGCAAATCTTTTCCTTCAATCAAGATGAGGACAGATGATTATGTAACCCGGTTCCTGGCCCTCTCCATTCGAGGGGGTCTAGGTAATGAACATGCAGTGGAGCTGCTAGAACGCAATGTGAACCCCCACATTGCACAACACCTCTATCTGCAAGATATGAGAAATGAGAACCTCTCAGAAGTGGCAGAAGAGGTTCGCAACATTGGTAGAGCCATGGAGCTCTACAAAATGCAATTTGGTGGTGGGTCCACCACCAAAAACAACTATTCCCAGAGGTGCCCTGGGTCATCAAACCAAAATCATAATCACTCCCACGGGCTCAAGCTGTTTAGGCTGCAGCCAGGACAGGGTGCTCCTATGGATATTGGTGTGGTCCAAGGCAGACAGATGCGCAGATTCAAGGGCAACTGTTACACCTGTGGCCAAGAGGGACACATGTTTCAAGACTGTAGAAATGTGGTGCAGGCCACCCAACAAAAAAATAACCAAGGGCGCCAGGTATGCAAATTAGGGGCGGGGGAGCCGGGCAGTTGGCTCGATACTCTGGCCGTTGTCGATGATGAGAACTGCTGTTAGAAAACCACACACAAAAACAAACTAACACACAATCCTCCCAGATTCCATGGAACTTGTTTATGGGCTTTGCCTCCTAGAACAGTGGAGTGATCTGGTTGTTCGTGGGGTGGTATGTATAAGGGTCCTTCAAAGTAAAACCCAGAGGTGTATGAGTGTGGGTTTTGAGGAGGAGGGATAGTTGAATTTATAGAAGATAGGGGCTTAGTGATGAGTATAGATGAGCACTACCTTGTTAATTGTAGCACAAGGTAGGTTTCAGAACAATGAGGATGACGAGGTGACGAGGTTCCCAGTGATAGCAGGCTTCTGACGCACAAACTGTAGTGCTCAGAAGGACTCTAATTGAAAGGGATAACAATGACTTCAAAAGTGGGAAGTGACGATGACAGCAATTAACAGTGGTAGAAGTGGGAAGTGTTGTGACCACACTGGATCACAAGTAGCAGAGAGTAGTGAGCTTGAGAGTAGAGAAGAAGTCTGGATTGGACTTCTTTTTGTTTTTTTTACAAGGTAAAATACAGGGGTTTATATAGTAAAAGAAAAGTAGGCTATGCACAGTATAGCTGTGCAAAAAGAATGAGAAAGAACATGAAGGAAGGAATGTATGCTGACAAATCCTGTGTAGGTAGTACAGGATAAGATTGTCAAAAAAGGAAAAGAAAGGGATAGAACAATGAATGCTGTGAGTAATGTCACAGGTTTGTACAGCCATAAAGTAAAGTCCAATAGCAAAAAGAGAGCAGGAAAATCATGATGTCATGGGAAGATGCAGTAAAAAAAGGGCAAGGCAAAACACTATTAGTATCAACACAGTTCCTTTATTGTCAGTCAGGCATTCTAAAAAATATGTGTCCATAAAAATGATTCAAAAATCAAAAATAATCGCACTGTAAATGAATGTTCTGCTGAAGAAAAAGAACCTAGAGCCACCGGTCCACCACCTAGTCCAAATCCGACAGTTCCATGGCCTTACCAATGGACTGGTTGTGTTGGACCACCTGATTAAACAAGGGAGGGAGAGGAGTAGTTCCAATTTGGAACAAGTGAGTCCCAGGCAGCGTGTGGTAGGTGTAGCTGTAGCGAAGACGATGGACAAAAGATAAGTGTACCCAAGTGAATGGGACAGCGATGAACATGGGCAACGCAAGGGGACAAACCTTCTCCAGCTCAAAAACTACCCACCCACACTCCAACCAGGCAAGACGAGCGACCAATGTTTTGATAGTATATGATGGCAGATCGACGTCATGAAGATGGACCTGTTGCCCTATTTGGACCGGCCGCCGGGGCTTTGCTGACATCAGCAGTGGCACGTGGTAGTCAAGGGATCGGCGACGGAAGCGGATAGGAAGCGGTGACATCAGAAATGGTGGGGGTGCAAATAAGATGAGGAGGAGGAGGGTGGAGGTGACGAACAAGTGGATTAGAATGGGGATCCAGAAACAACCGTCAGGTGAGAATAAAAAGGAGAGGAAGAGGCCCATGGTGGGGCTAGGCAAAGGAAGGGGAGTAAGGGAAATGACAAAAGCGAGGGCGCAATGCAATGTGTAGCCAGTGGTGACGCGAAAATTTGCCAAAATGCCAAAATGCCAAAAGTACCGAATGGAAAAGCAAAGGTGAGCATGACTGGATTGCCTAATAGAGGTGGTGCTGATCAGCCACAAGTTCAAAACAGGCAATATTAATTACTATTCCACGTGGCACTGTGCCTGTGTGGCGCAAAGGCGAGTCTTTTTGAATATTTGCTTCGTTATTGACACCTGTCCATGCTACCAATCAACTTTGGTGCATGACACTGTGTTGCTCTTGGCTCAGTTCTTCAACCTCCTTGCACAACACCCCACTAACACCCCACTAACAAGCCCAAATGCCCATGAAAATACTGACTGGTGAGCGGCCGACTGCTTGTGTAGCACAGTACATATCCTTTGTGCATTGCATATAAGCGACTCCCAGGCTGTTTTGTGACTAGGTCCGTCGCTCTGTAAAACTCCTTGGATCACTCCTGGAGGTGTAAGTTCATTCTGTTGTAGACATGCTATAAAGTTACTTAACCGGCTTGCAGTACTGTTTTCTGGTATTGTGGTGGTGTCCTTAGGTTAGCATAGGGCAGTCAGGTCCTTATATATGTTGCTATAATCTTGTTTTACATTCCTTGCACAACACTGTATCCTTGCAGCTCACTCACAGCCCATTTCACTCGTGGCAGAATATAGATCGCTTAATTGTTTTCTATGTTTACAACACCAATTAATGTTCCCCGGACTTTGGTCACAACTTTAGAAACTAGTGATAGTCAATACCTCAACTGTAATCAGAACAGATGATATTATACCTAGTGATAGTCAATACTACAACGGTATGGTATTAGTTAGGATAATGTAAAATAAAGAAACAAAAGACATACCCTCAACTGTAATCAGAACAGATGAGGGAAACATACAAAGTGGTAGAATGAGTATATAAAGACACGAGAAAAGGTCACGTGTGGGTTTGAATGTCTGTTGTATCGTAAACGTTAAATCTGTGATCCAACAACGACCTGCTTGATTTGAGTGGACGGAGCGGAGGGGCAAATAGGGCCAAATCTGGCGCCACTACAAGTTGTGCCAGTCGGCCATGTGTGTTATCATAACGCTCAACTCAAGTTTCAGTAAATTTTCGGATAATTATACAATCAGATTATATAATCACTAAGCACTAGGATGTAGCATATACACACATCTGTCGACTGGTTTGGAGTCTGATGATTTCTATGCTATCGCCGTGGTTAGATACTAGTCTTTTACTTTCGAAAATAATCTAGGGTTACGGTAGTTTTAAGATATATACCGAATCACATTGAATATCCGACGAAATTCGATGTAATTCGGTATATATTTTGTCGTTTCCGACTGGGCTTCAACCCTCGCCCCCTACCTTCAAGATTCATGTTCAGTTCGGTTCTCCGGCACTTTGCTCCAAACCCCAACCAAACCTGCAGTTTAAGTGCATGGCGATAGGGCATAATGCCAGAGGCGGACCCTCGATTGATTTTTTTCTACGCACTACAACCCATTGGGGAAGAGGTAACTCCGTGCTGCTTTGCGGTATTTAGACGAAATTATAATTACAAACATTGGGTCATGTTTAGAGGCCAGCTTTGGGCGAATCGGCAGTGTAGCTAAAATACGATCTATTCTAATGTTATTCATGAATGCGACTGCTGTCACTCTCGCTTTTCCAGTAGCCCTTTGTTACGCCAGTAGCCCAGCCAATTTTTGACATCCTCACGCCCAAGCTGACGGAGGGCGGGATTTGCCAGCTGAGACGATAAGGCAATAGCTTCCCTAGTATCAAATGAGTCGAACCCAAACGCTTCAGAACTGGCCGTCTTCGTAGCGATGTGCTTGAAAAACGACTGCAGTCGTAGAGCACGAATATATCCAGTAACCTTTAGGTCACTAGAATTATCCTCTGCATCGACAGCTTCTTGTTCAAGCCTTGACAGCCACTCAGTGTAGGGCACAAGTGGTACAGAAAACTCCGACGACAGAACGGCAGCGAGGGATGACCAGCGAACAGGACGTGGATGAATGAGATGGACGATACGCTTTGAAGGAAATTTTGATGCGGTACAGAAGTCTATAAATGCAGAGGCTGCAATATCGAGCGGAATCCATGACACTTGCTAGAAAAAGTTCATTTTCTTGGGGATCAGCTCATTCAAATATTAAGGCCACCTTAAATACCTTATGATCATCAGGTAAAAGCCCTAAAATACTAGCACTCTGAACTAGGGCAGGGAGCCATTCGGTGATATTCCATGCTCCATTCAAACCTCCAGATAGCTGTCCAACGCGCACTATCAACACTTCCATTTCTGTGTGTTCTGCTGCTTCGCACAATATGTTCTCAGAAACCCATTTTGACTCGCTGTAGCCTGTGCCCACGGCAATCTCCGGCTCGATGGGTTGCTCCATAAGCAGTGCGTTGCTTTCCACATCTGCTGGCTGAATTGAATATCACCCGCAACTACAAATGATAGAAAATGCACGTACTTCGAAAAACACCTATAGAGCTGGCATAAAGTAGTCGGGCTGGCTTCTGTAGAGGTGATAATAGTGAGAAATCGATTAAATTGCGAAGTCCCTTGATATTGATTTCAAACGTCGTCAAGGTGGGGTTGAAATCGACACGCCAAGCTAGAAAGGAATATAGCCGTAAGTCTGAGTACAGTGATATCATAATTAGATTTACCGTTATGGATGATATGTGTCACAGAACGTTGCATCTATGGAGCAGTCAGCATTACTATATAAGAAGCTACAACATGACTGACTGACTTCTTCATACAGGGCACTAGAGAGGTTGAAGAATTCACTAGCAGGATCCCCCTCACATAGAACAACGTTGTCAGAATCCAAAGCTCCGACATCAAGCCCAAAATTCAATAGAGCCTCCTCCTGTCTTTGCACTAGCGTTTTCCCATCGTGATGCCCTCGATTTAGTGCATACACACGTGAAACATTGGGATGCGATAGGAGTCCAACGAGGAGATAGCAACCGAGAGCACCAGTTGAACCTGTCAGCAAAACGGTTGACCTTCCTGAACTTGTCACAGTGCGGTTGGTTTTGCGGCTGGGGAAGTTTTGTGAGTATCTTGACGCGATTAAGCGCATTGTTTCGACCGCGCCAATTTTTTGAATGTCGCCGCCGCATCCAAATAGCAAGTTATGGATGAACTTGCTTAAAGTAGCTACGGTAGGGTAGTCGTAGATAAAGTTACCAACGATCTGGCGGGTGTCAAACCTTGTCGAATCACGTATAGCTCGGAGAATAGTGTTACGGATCCACGTCGCTTGAAGACTACAGGCAATACGTATTAGTTTCACTCCCCAATCACTAAATAAAATTTAGTACCTGTCACACCCATGCTGAAAGACATCATCGTAGTCTGAAACATTCCTCGACAAGACAGAGCTCATAACTCCACGGATGAACTCAGTAGTAGAAGCGAGGTCCCATTGGGCAGGTGGAGCAATAGTTGCCTGTGTGCTCTCTTCAACCGCATCGTAAACTGCATTAATCTCCTCCTCGTAGTCATCGAGAATGGCTTGTCGGCGAGCTGTGTTTTTTGCAGTATATGTAAACGGTTTTGAAGGCTTCGAGACGATGATCATCTTAGTAATAGGAGGAATAAACAACTATCGTAATGTGGAAACGATAATACGAGGGTACCTCCTTGAATAACCTGGAGTGCTGTGGTGCATACTCGTTCAAACGTTCAACCATCGGCCTAGACAAGTTGAGTGTTTCAATCTAGTTGGATTGGTTCAATGTAATCACCAAATTTTGTTTCTGAGCTCAGCGAGCGCACCCTCGTCGGATGGATCAATATGATAAGCAAGCTTGGGGTCCACAATTACGCCAGCCTGAAATCGTCCACGACCGAATATAACAGAAGATTGAATAAACGGGCTTTGATTCAGAGTGTTTTCTATTCAATATATAATGGTTAAGAAAAGCGTAGTATTGCTGACGCTACTCACCCAAAGGGCCTGGATTTGTCTTCAATAGTTGACACTGGGTTAAGTTTATCAATCAGTATGGGTTGCTAGGGCTAACCTTCTCTCCAGTACTATGCATAATCTGATCGTCGGTGCGGCCATACACTTTCCAGTAACCTGTTTTCGTAGGATGTGGGCTGAGGAGGTCCGAAGTAGAATAAGCGTCTATTCCACCTATAATAGTGTTGATTACACTGGGTCGGCAAAGATTGTTCGCCTACAACATTAACAGCAATGCCATATATCAAACAAACAAATAGACCAATATTACACCACTTACGACTATAACAAGCTCAAACGTATTGTTGCCATTCGGTACCATTTCAGGTGTGATTAAAGCGGGGAATTTAAAGTACTCCCAATCGTACCCGGCTTTAGCTGTAAAGCGGTCAGTTACAAGGCCTGTTCATGAGTAGATATCACGCTAACAAGGTAATATAATGCTTATAATGCCAGCTTCAGTACTGATAACAATTTTACGTGAGTGACACTCGATGGTATTGAGAGAGGATAGACATACGAGCCATAAAGGTTGAATATGCTAACTCCTTTCGCTGCCAAATTATCTCCTACCTCCTGATTCAAAGGACCACCACCAAAGAGCTGCTTGAAATGCTAAGAAAAGCCTGCCTGAATACCAGCAGTCATACATACCACTCCCCCACGAGTTGCAAGCCATTTGACGTAATCGGGATTGTGAGACCACGCCTATATACACAAACATCAAATAAAAGGGTCATACGCAAAGTGAACATTTTAACTTCGATGAAAGTGGGGACACAGAATATGATGTCGCTTTTCGTGGCTTTGGCCGCCTTGAATAGACTTTCCGGCGTTGGTACAAGAGTTGGGCTTTGTGGAGCAAACGCGCTCGCGACAAGTCCACATGACATCTAGCAAAAATATAACATCGAATCCTTAACGATGTATCAGGCAAAATCATACCGTCCAGCATAGCTGCGTCATTCCCATACCGTGATACATGGGCATGGTATGCAGAGATAGAATCTGATCCGTGAGATCACGCTCTCCATACCATGGAATAAGGGACATTTGCACAAGACGATGATTGGTGAATGGGATGGGTTTAGGATACGCAGTGGATCCTGATTGAAAGAATATGGGAAAATTAAAACATAGTTTGCGGCGGAGGTATACGAACCTGACGAGTGCAAAAACATGGCAATTTCATCGGGACCTTTGTTTTCGTACAAAAAATGCTTGATTGGTGCGCCTACATCAACGGGAAAGAAAAGGTCCTCAAAAATCAACATGGGTGACAGCTCAGGGGTTGGAGTAGATGGGTATTGAGTTTTCAGTTTGTCAAATGCAGCCAGAGAAAGGTCCCGCATAGACTGCTCGCGTCCGACGAGTATGTGATCGATGCCTACTTTGCTGATGAGGTGAGCTACCGCTGATGCTGAATTTCGGGGTGAGATCGGAAAGGCTATCAAGTTAGCGCACATGATACTCATGAGCGTAATGAAATAAGGGATCGTATCTTGCGGAAGTTATGAATGGAAAGACGTCAAACAAAGGTATTCAACGTGATCAAATACCTGAGCCTGCGAGAATCGCTACAACAATCGCTTTCGATGCATCCGTTTGCTGCTGCAAGCGATCTTTGATTATACGAGCCCCTGTGTACATAGCTCTTACTGCCTCAGGCCAATAGATGGTTTTTACACTGCCATCCTGATCAGCATAGATGAATAAGCGGTGATTCGGCGTATGGTCCAGATGCCAAGCATATAGCTGAGGGAGAGCAAGGGAACCATCTAAGGGAGGGGGTCGGAATGTGGCAGAGGAACGAGCTTGTGTCTGAGGAGGCAGCGGGAGCAAACGGTCTGGAGGAGTAATCATGGTGACGTGGGTAGTAAGCGGTTGGCAATTGTGAACTGCGGTAACTACGACACGGTGGACTGACAGGCTTTATATCATGGCATCTTCCAAGTTATCAAGAGAGATGTCATGTAAGTTGCTTGTTCCTATTTACCTTTGTGTCGCTTTAAGCCGCACACTGCCCATGATGTAGATAAGGATGACTGTATCATCATGATGTTGATGGACCGTTGATACATATATCTGAATCATGGCTGAGCGAATTTAGCCATTGCCTGAGAGTTGAGCGCTGAGCGCTGAGAGCCATCAAGACAATCAAGTACATCGGATGTCAGCACGAAACACTGAATCATGCTGGACAGATTCTATCATGAATACGAGCGTTCCATCTGAATTCAGCGTAAGTCCGGGTGCTACTTAGCTCAATGCATAGGTCTCAGTTTATGAGAAACAGCTTATAGTAAATTACTAACTAGATAGGAACCATTTGATTATCATAATCTGATGGATCACATCCGCATCACAGAACGGCCATTTGAACCCTCAGGCCTCAGGAGACGTATGGCAAGTGTCAGCGCCCTGTATAAGGATACAGCGTGCCTTCAGTGGGCGTCAATCGATGGAGTCACGTCGCGTTTAGCAAGTTTGGTTCTGGCAGAACATATCTTATCCGAGTCCTAGAGATGGCAGTGGCATCAGAGAACCTAGGAAGTTTCCACAGCGTCATATAACACAGATGTAACTGAAGCGAAGAGTAAAATATGAATAGTTTTGCTTACTGTGACTGTGATGCAATACAATGGCAGATCGAAAGAAAAATTTCCGAAAACCAAAATTGTTTAGGGCCCGTTCCCACGCTCCAAGGGAGACACTGGTGCAGCGGTAGTATCATAATTATTACAATCACAATTCTTCATACAAGTACATACTTCAGATAATAGATTTATAATTTTATTTACAGATTGGGGAGCCACCCCCTTTCCTTTATTGCTCGTGTAACACCCCGGAGCAGGGGCCACCTTGTTGTGGTTTACTTCATCATTAATAGGAGCGAAGGCACCCAAGTGACCTAAGATCCGAACTCTTTTCCCTGGGCCTTCATCTCAGCAACTTGCTGATTGTAGAAGAAGGCCCAGATTCTGTTGTACAAATAACTGGTGTCATGCACCAAAGTTGATTGGTAGCATGGACAGGTGTCAATAACGAAGCAAATATTCAAAAAGACTCGCCTTTGCGCCACACAGGCACAGTGCCACGTGGAATAGTAATTAATATTGCCTTTTTTGAACTTGTGGCTGATCAGCACCACCTCTATTAGGCAATCCAGTCATGCTCACCTTTGCTTTTCCATTCGGTACTTTTGGCATTTTGGCATTTTGGCAAATTTTCGCGTCACCACTGGCTACACATTGCATTGCGCCCTCGCTTTTGTCATTTCCCTTACTCCCCTTCCTTTGCCTAGCCCCACCATGGGCCTCTTCCTCTCCTTTTTATTCTCACCTGACGGTTGTTTCTGGATCCCCATTCTAATCCACTTGTTCGTCACCTCCACCCTCCTCCTCCTCATCTTATTTGCACCCCCACCATTTCTGATGTCACCGCTTCCTATCCGCTTCCGTCGCCGATCCCTTGACTACCACGTGCCACTGCTGATGTCAGCAAAGCCCCGGCGGCCGGTCCAAATAGGGCAACAGGTCCATCTTCATGACGTCGATCTGCCATCATATACTATCAAAACATTGGTCGCTCGTCTTGCCTGGTTGGAGTGTGGGTGGGTAGTTTTTGAGCTGGAGAAGGTTTGTCCCCTTGCGTCGCCCATGTTCATCGCTGTCCCATTCACTTGGGTACACTTATCTTTTGTCCATCGTCTTCGCTACAGCTACACCTACCACACGCTGCCTGGGACTCACTTGTTCCAAATTGGAACTACTCCTCTCCCTCCCTTGTTTAATCAGGTGGTCCAACACAACCAGTCCATTGGTAAGGCCATAGAACTGTCGGATTTGGACTAGGTGGTGGACCGGTGGCTCTAGGTTCTTTTTCTTCAGCAGAACATTCATTTACAGTGCGATTATTTTTGATTTTTGAATCATTTTTATGGACACATATTTTTTAGAATGCCTGACTGACAATAAAGGAACTGTGTTGATACTAATAGTGTTTTGCCTTGCCCTTTTTTTACTGCATCTTCCCATGACATCATGATTTTCCTGCTCTCTTTTTGCTATTGGACTTTACTTTATGGCTGTACAAACCTGTGACATTACTCACAGCATTCATTGTTCTATCCCTTTCTTTTCCTTTTTTGACAATCTTATCCTGTACTACCTACACAGGATTTGTCAGCATACATTCCTTCCTTCATGTTCTTTCTCATTCTTTTTGCACAGCTATACTGTGCATAGCCTACTTTTCTTTTACTATATAAACCCCTGTATTTTACCTTGTAAAAAAAACAAAAAGAAGTCCAATCCAGACTTCTTCTCTACTCTCAAGCTCACTACTCTCTGCTACTTGTGATCCAGTGTGGTCACAACACTTCCCACTTCTACCACTGTTAATTGCTGTCATCGTCACTTCCCACTTTTGAAGTCATTGTTATCCCTTTCAATTAGAGTCCTTCTGAGCACTACAGTTTGTGCGTCAGAAGCCTGCTATCACTGGGAACCTCGTCACCTCGTCATCCTCATTGTTCTGAAACCTACCTTGTGCTACAATTAACAAGGTAGTGCTCATCTATACTCATCACCTAAGCCCCTATCTTCTATAAATTCAACTATCCCTCCTCCTCAAAACCCACACTCATACACCTCTGGGTTTTACTTTGAAGGACCATTATACATACCACCCCACAAACAACCAGAGCACCCACTGTTCTAGGAGGCAAAGCCCATAAACAAGTTCCGTGGAATCTGGGAGGATTGTGTGTTAGTTTGTTTTTGTGTGTTCAAGGAAGATCAAAAATGGCCTACCAACATAACATTCTGAAGGCTCAAAACCCAATATTCCCAAGAAGGAAAAAAATTAATATGAACATGTATAAAATGCATGCTATGGGTGACTATGTGTGTATTATCAAGTATTCTGCACAAAATATATGTAGTTTTCTATCAGCCATTTACAAGCAACTCATTGACCAAATCATTAGGGAGAGCTAGCCCATCAAATTATCAAAGTGTTTTACAAACTTACCAACAAGAATAATGCTATCAAATAGTTAGACTCAGCATAAAAGGTGCAGGACATATTTTTAGCGCTCTCAAGAATCTGGGGACCACTCTCAACCTGCTGGTCCTAGCACCATTAACACGTTGTCGATGATGAGAACTGCTGTTAGAAAACCACACACAAAAACAAACTAACACACAATCCTCCCAGATTCCACGGAACTTGTTTATGGGCTTTGCCTCCTAGAACAGTGGGTGCTCTGGTTGTTTGTGGGGTGGTATGTATAAGGGTCCTTCAAAGTAAAACCCAGAGGTGTATGAGTGTGGGTTTTGAGGAGGAGGGATAGTTAAATTTATAGAAGATAGGGGCTTAGTGACGAGTATAGATGAGCACTACCTTGCTAATGGTAGCACAAGGTAGGTTTGAGAATAACTAGGATGGTGACGAGGTTCCCAGTGATAGCAGGCTCCTGACGCACAAACTGTAGTGCTCAGAAGGACTCTAATCGAAAGGGATAACAATGACTTCAAAAGTGGGAAGTGACGATGACAGCAGTTGACAGTGGTAGAAGTGGGAAGTGTTGTGACCACACTGGATCACAAGTAGCAGAGTAGTGAATTTGAGAGTAGAGAAGAAGTCTGGATTGGACTTCTTTTTGTTTTTTTTACAAGGTAAAATACAGGGGTTTATATAGTAAAAGAAAAGTAGGCTATGCACAGTATAGCTGTGCAAAAAGAATGAGAAAGAACATGAAGGAAGGAATGTATGCTGACAAATCCTGTGTAGGTAGTACAGGATAAGATTGTCAAAAAAGGAAAAGAAAGGGATAGAACAATGAATGCTGTGAGTAATGTCACAGGTTTGTACAGCCATAAAGTAAAGTCCAATAGCAAAAAGAGAGCAGGAAAATCATGATGTCATGGGAAGATGCAGTAAAAAAAGGGCAAGGCAAAACACTATTAGTATCAACACAGTTCCTTTATTGTCAGTCAGGCATTCTAAAAAATATGTGTCCATAAAAATGATTCAAAAATCAAAAATAATCGCACTGTAAATGAATGTTCTGCTGAAGAAAAAGAACCTAGAGCCACCGGTCCACCACCTAGTCCAAATCCGACAGTTCTATGGCCTTACCAATGGACTGGTTGTGTTGGACCACCTGATTAAACAAGGGAGGGAGAGGAGTAGTTCCAATTTGGAACAAGTGAGTCCCAGGCAGCGTGTGGTAGGTGTAGCTGTAGCGAAGACGATGGACAAAAGATAAGTGTACCCAAGTGAATGGGACAGCGATGAACATGGGCGACGCAAGGGGACAAACCTTCTCCAGCTCAAAAACTACCCACCCACACTCCAACCAGGCAAGACGAGCGACCAATGTTTTGATAGTATATGATGGCAGATCGACGTCATGAAGATGGACCTGTTGCCCTATTTGGACCGGCCGCCGGGGCTTTGCTGACATCAGCAGTGGCACGTGGTAGTCAAGGGATCGGCGACGGAAGCGGATAGGAAGCGGTGACATCAGAAATGGTGGGGGTGCAAATAAGATGAGGAGGAGGAGGGTGGAGGTGACGAACAAGTGGATTAGAATGGGGATCCAGAAACAACCGTCAGGTGAGAATAAAAAGGAGAGGAAGAGGCCCATGGTGGGGCTAGGCAAAGGAAGGGGAGTAAGGGAAATGACAAAAGCGAGGGCGCAATGCAATGTGTAGCCAGTGGCGACGCGGAAATTTGCCAAAATGCCAAAATGCGGAAAGTACCGGATGGAAAAGCAAAGGTGAGCGTGACTGGATTGCCTAATAGAGGTGATGCTGATCAGCCACAAGTTCAAAAAAGGCAATATTAATTACTATTCCACGTGGCACTGTGCCTGTGTGGCGCAAAGGCGAGTCTTTTGAATATTTGCTTCATTATTGACACCTGTCCATGCTACCAATCAACTTTGCTGCATGACACCGATCACTGGTTTCACCAGTGGATTGAGCTTTCTTGGAAAAGTCTCCTAAAGTGATATGCACATTAGGGTCATAAGAAGGGTGATGGTCATATTTACATAGTAGATCGAATGTGTTTGCCACAGTTTCTATGGTATCCTTGACATGCAAAATTACTCTTGTCAATAGTGGACAAATTTCTGGTGGGGGAACAGGAGCTGGTGGATCAGGTAGATTATCACAATACCTTTGAGGTAGTGTAATCATATGGCAAGGCCTCCCTGAAACAATGAGAACTGGCCTTATGGGAGAGAAGGCTTATCACACACCTGGCGGAGCCATAACAATATCACCTTTGGATGGTGTCAACAACCTTATTGGTTATCTGATTCTGTATGGGCATTTGTTCCCAAGTGATGCCATCACAGAGTATGTTGTGCAAGCCATGGTACAATCACGCAAGGCCTGGGCGCAAATACAGTACACCATGTCTAAGCTAGAAGGGTCTACATACTTGTGGACAGAACTTTGGTGGTTGATGGTCTCTAAACAATACTATTGTAAATTTTCACCCTAAATTCAATTTATAAGGTACTAACTTTTTGATATTCCTGCTAGATCAGACACTATCACCCCCATTAACAAACAAAAACTGTCACACAGAAATCTTATAGCTACCAGCACAACTTCATCTCTTACTTTGCAACACAATTAAACATTACCTTTGAGGCATTTGCGGATCTTAGCTAGATATCAAGTACCTGCAAGACTCTGCATGGGCACATGTTCTTTGCAATGTAAGTGTATCTGGCTATATTTTATGTTGAACTGAGTTTCAGATGCACAAATAGGGGATTTGGATGCCATTTTGTCAACCAGTATTTGACTTTGTTATGGTCCATTTTTGTTTTGGGTGAAGGTAGCAAGTATGCACTGCAGATTATATATGGTGTACCTGAGCCAGTCCCACTAGAAATAATTGCTGATATTGCTGTATTTGTAAGTGTTTCAATTGTCCTTTTTAGCCATGTTCTCAAATTGATATACTTTGAACTCAGACAGACCAACCATGTCTTCAAAAACAAGATTTGTGAAGTGGACGGCCATCCTCCACTTCTATTCACAGAGGAGCAATACATGAAGAAGTTCCATAGCATCATGGCCCTCATTCAGTTGCTGGAGAGAAGTACTTACTATGGACCTTATCTTCATGCAAGATGGATTCACTGGAGTAAGTTCAGCTGGTAAAAGATTATCATTATTGATCTTCAAGTATTATCTTATCTCAATCACAGTAACATCCTGTTCAACATTCTTCCATTAGCGTGATATGTACATCCATTGAATTATATGTAGATATTGTTATCTCCACATGAAGGCTAATCTAGGAGCATATGTGTACTGTTAACCTGCTCAGATGTGATGATCAAGATAATTACTTGGATCCGAGTCCAAACTTAAGACAGGACAACTCGGATATCTGTTGTTGGAAGGCTTTCAGCTGAGTCAGCAGAAGATTCAAGATAATACTAGCCAGTCTTTGTAGCATCTTGGACTACACCACCTACCTTTTGTATTGATAGCATAACTTTGAGTCTCACATATGCCAGTGTTAGTAGTCAATCCAACAATTCACAGGGGTCTAGTGCTGATATTGTGATAACAGATGTGTCCGGATATAAGTGATTCGTTGGCAAGCAAAAAACTCTTTCAAGTCTCCACGCTCCCACCAATTCCAAGTCTCACACAAAGGACAAGCAAATCTACAGCACACCACCACAAGTCACATCCTACACCTACACAACATCCCATCATGCTTTAACGTCAAATACTCCTCAAAAACAGCAGACTATGAAAGACCTACTATATAAGGTGGGGCTGTTTTCAAAAGTGCCACTATTTTTAATGTTGTATGCCCTGCTAATAAGAAAGATGTGACACAAGTCATGAATTTCTTAAACCGCCAGGGTATTACATCTGGAAACAGTGTCAAAGGGTGGCCTCATGGCAAAAGAGCTAAACAGAAAGTCCCGTATTATACACCTTTTGCCAGGATTCTCACCACTATTGTTGAGACCTTTAAGTTTTTTGACTCAGAGAATCAATACTACTGTGGAATATGATCCTACCCATACACCAAGGTCATGTTAAATGGCACTACAAATCCACTTAAACCAGACATTGTGTCCCTTTTTAGCAAAAATAAAAGCATTTTGCACAATGTATCTTAGGACGAAGTTGTTTTTACATTTGAGGTGAAGAATGATTGGAAGGAGATGATATTGCAAGCGGGCATATACACACAATGTGCCTTTGTTGCTAAAGAAAACCAAATATATGTCTTGATTTTGCTGTTCAACCACATTGTAGGTGAAGTCCACTTTTGCTTCTACACACAAGGTGGAGTCATTTACAGCCCTACATTTTGATTGGAAACAAGGTCTGGTTTTATTCGGTTTGTATAAGGTGTTATTGTTATCTCATGGCACAATCCCCATGTACCCGGCATTGATCCTACCTGAAGCAATGCATACATATATCTACCTAACTGGGGTTTATATGACATATCAAACATGATCTGCTTTTGCCAGAGTATATGTGGCCATGCTACCCATGTATACACTCTGGATGAAGCCAATTTTGGCTCCCCTACTACAATACAATATCCTCACCACCCAAAACACATCATTCACATTCTATCACTGGTGCACGTGTTATCACCTTATCTAATGGGAGATCTTCCCATTAGCTTCATAGGAGAGTTGGCTCAGATTCTCCAAATATGCTGTCAATCAGGTTGAAGACACTTTCAGGAATCACCAGTTAAGCTCATTTTTTTTCCCCATTAGAGTCCATTGGGGGTGAGTTGCCCATATAGTGGACTATACTGCTGACTCTGTACATATGTACTACTACTTATAATGCTACCAGCTGTTGTCCTTTCTGCAATGCTGATCTGACATGTATATTGGGCACTAGCAACCGGATGCAACAAGTGCAGCCCACACTATTCCTACCACATAGGGGCCGGGCCTCAACCTTCTTCATCACTCCCTGGCTTTTGCTGGGACGCAATGACAGTTGATGGCACTAACAAGTGGGTTAGCTCTGAAATATTTTATTATTTTATTCGTGATTAAATTGAGCATGTACAGGCAGAATATGCTTTATAAAGGCTATCTAGAACTCATTCACTTCTTCTCCTTTGTGAAGTGCAAAGCTATGCACCCAGACCCATTGAAACTGGAGGATGTTTTCAGGCTAGTAAGTTTTAATGATCCATTTACAAGAAAGCTTTATATTAATTGAATCTTGACATAAACAAGTACATCTCCAAAGATCCAGATTGTGGACTTTTCCAGTTGCATTGGCTCATTGAAAGTGGTGAATTAGTCATGTTGAACAAAATGCTGACCTTGAAACAGGCTTTTAAATCAATATTCACGTTACCATCATCTGTGCATGGTAAAGGAAATGAAGGTGCATCTTCCAACTCAATATGCCAACACAAATCTTCTTGGGCTATGAAAGGATATGTTGCATCTCCGCTAGGGATGAAACATGTCAAACCTTGTGTTATTGCGTATGTGGCTATTCAGGTACAGTCACTCACTTTTCTGATTCAATACCAGCTAAGGGCTACTTCTAGTTTCATTTTGCTCTCTCAAGTGTTACATTTTGGTGTCAGTTTGATGACAATTTCAATCTCAAGGAGTTTTATAATAATATCCTTGGTTTGTCTGTTGCGCACTCCAGTGCTCGGCGCAGGAATCATCTATAGCTAGTTACTACAAGTCATCTGGAATTATTACTTTAATAATAATGTGTACTATTGGTTTACAACTCCATTGTAGATGCTTAAATAGAAGGATATTTTGTATATTTCATATGTGAGGACTACAGTCAGATACTAATGTGAAAGGAACCATGTTTTGTGGTTACTGTTAATCCATGGTATTGTGGGAATATCCACCGCACTTTTGATAAAGTTTCACCTGTAGGAAAAAAAGTATTAAATCAAAACTTTGAATAATGACTGAGTAACGACTGCGTAATGCACTGGAGAAAGTAATGTCCAAGTAATGTCTAAGTAACACACAAGTAACACATTGCAATCAGTAACAATAGAGTAACACTTTGTATTGGGTAATACTAGCTTTTCAACATCAGCATTTTTGACTTTGATGATCACACTGATCGATCAATACCGACTTGAATATATCATTAAGTCCCCTAAGGTCATAATCAACCTTGCATCATAAGTCATAAGCCTCTCCAATACTACCACTATGAATGCCACCCAGGTACAACTGGTGCACCCGCTCAAGCTGTTCCCAAAGTCCAGCAGGCAAGCTCTGGCAGATATCAACGGTTGCACATCAACACCAAGCAGCAGATCAAGATAAAAAGGCCGATTCTGAACAATGTATCAATTATACTAGGCCTCTCAATATTAAGAACAAAGCTTGAAGGAAGTGTCTAGCCACTTGCTGAGAGCAATCAGGGACTGGAACTAGAGTCCAATGTGAGTAACTATATTATTAGAGAGTATGACAGGTATACAGTACCTAGAGTCCAATGTGAGTAACTAGAGAATAGGAAGCATTGGACTCTGCAGTACTGTCCGAAGTTTTGTAAACAAAGGTAAACAAAGCAGCCACAAAGGCGAAATAATAGAGAACATAATCAATAGTGAATGATAGAAGAATAGATAGAGAAAGGAATGAAAATATAGAGGTAGCACAAAGGTGCAGAATCACCAAAACTAACACTCAATTCTTTACGCAGGCCAATTGTCAACAACTCAGACTCAGATCCTCCTTCTCAAAATCAGGATATATATATAGCGCATCAAGAATATGATCAATTACCTGACTTCCACCCAGACAATGATTCAGATGAAGAGAATATACTCCATGTTCAAACAACCTATCCTAACTCAGACTCTGGAGACAACTGGCATCAAGACAACCTCCCTGTGCAGTTGTCAGATGCTGACACTGACACTATGAGCAACTCGCAATCTGATTCTGACAGTGATGACAACGTCTCAGAAGATCAAGATTTCATTCCTTGAGGCCAGTTATTTGATCAACAAGATGAACCTCAGGATGATAACAACAACCCAGGAGACTTACCCCCAGCCTTCTATGAACACCCAATAATCCAAAATACATATATACAAGCATATGTCAACACATCCTTCAACAGCACTACTCATGAAGGCATCCGCATAATGATGGATGGTACAGTACTCATACTGAACTCCACGGCTTCCCAATATCTTGATATCAGCTTCTAAGGCCTTGACAACATGGCAAAAACCCTTCCTACTGTAGATAAAAGACTAGGTGTATCCCTTATGCCCCTAATAAAATATATTTTTATCTGTCCTAAATGTTGGGCATTGCATCAACCATCCCAGCTCAATATTCCCCACTTCTCAGTGACCTGCAATGAAGAAGACGGCATCCTCTTTACCACAAAATGAATGGCTGGTGGAGCGATGGGACAAACTCCAGCCAAAGTCCTTCCTTATGTCCCCCCAAAGAGCTATTGAGCGATGTCTTTGTCGCCCAGGCAAATATGAGCAGCTTCAGGCATGGCATACAAGTACTGACAAAGCTGGCTGCCATCCTCCAGCTCCAACAGAAGAACTTCAAGATTTATGCACCCAGAGCGACAAATGCATGACATGCACAATGCCTGGGGCTGGTGGGCTATTTCTGCAGGGCTTCAAAAATGCTGAGGACGCCCATGGACTGTCCAAGATGTTTATCAGCATGAAGTGCATCAACAGTTTGTGCACTTCTGTGTGGCTTCTCTGGC